CCTTTGTTATTTCCTCGAATAATATTACGGCTCGTTTGTAAATTCAATACGTCGACTTTTTAACTCCTCGCCGACTGTGTGTCGAGTGCCATCGATCGCGGGTTCGTTCCCGGCGTAACAATCATTGCCGTTATGGCCGCCCATCCGCATCGGTATCGCAACCCCCTGTAACCCCCACTCCACACGGTCTCATTTCCCGTAACTTATACCTTTTTTCTCGATTGCATAATTCTAAAGAGATCTACTTTGCGCAATATCTCACGAGGAACGTCTAACGTCGCTATCATTTAACATGCTTCTTTTAACGCTTTAACTGGACTTAACAGTGTTTTCTTAAACTTCGCGATACAGATATATAAATCTATTTGATTTCTTCATAAGAGAGATACCGATGTGAAGATAATACTAAACCAAGAATTCATTTTTCTTTTCTGATCAACCTATCCTATCAATATCTCTTCTCTCCCCACTCTCACTTCTAAATAATATTTTAGAGTAAAATTACTTTTTAGGGAGAATTTTTATACAGTGTTTCGAAAGATTTTCGCCTAGTTTTAATATAATCTTCTATTAAGAAATGATTGAGAAGGCATTTTTATATGTGAAACGATTTTTACTTGGCGTCTTAATTCAATAAAAGAATTAAAATTTAGAATAAATTAGTGCTCTGATCGATTTTTCTTCTTTTTTTTTGTTATTTAATTACAGCATTCATTCTAAGAAATAATTTGAAAATTTGGACTATTTCGAGAAGAAATGCAGTGTCCATTTGCACAGGTGTCGCGGGATGTCGAGTGGCGGAAATTGTCAGCGGCAAAATTACGGGTGACGGTCGATTCATCGACGTCGAAACAATAACAATCGGCGTATGCCCGACGATGCGGTAATTAAAATAAAATTAATTGGATTGCCCGCGCGCGCACTCGCGGCCGAATCTTTCGAAGGAGATGACTGCACAGCCGTAGGGGTGTTTTGTGCGTTATTGCATATAATGCACTGTTTATTTTGAACTCTCTCTCTCTCCCTCTCCCTCGCCGCTCATTCCCATCCCCCTTCACTCCCTTCTCTCCGATCCTCCTTTCGGAGCGAGTATGTATTATACGTGAATACGTAGACATATTATATGTTATTATGTGTACGGGCAATCCGCTTCTCCTCTCTTCATCCCTCGGGACGATTCTCGCACCGCGAGCTTCCCGAAACCATTGATATGTACACGCAATTCTTATAATAATTTTGATCAGTTTACGACAAAATATCTCTCTAGCTGTGTGTCAAAAGTGTACGAAAGATTGAAAATACGAATCTCAATAATTTATTTGAATAAAAAATTATAAATTTACAAAAATTATTAGGCACGAAGAACCACCTTGACTGAAATAACATTTTTCATTTGTGTATGTTTAATCTGATCAGTCGATTCTTACTTAATATTGTGAATCTTATAAGAGATTCTATATAAGAATTTGGTAAAAAGAATAAAAATAGAACTGTTTATCTTTTTCATTTCTTCCTTTTTTATTTTATCCCACTTTTCAAAAATGTACGAAGCTATCTGAACTACATATTAAATGGATCATAAGTGATGATCAATCAAAAGGCTGATCAGCTTCAATCAGACTCTTATATTGATTTCTAGAATCTTGTAGCTGTTCTTTTTCTGTTTAAAGACTCATTCTAGAATTGTGTAAGTGTAATAAGTAGTTGTAGTTATAAGAATTGACCAATCACAGTCGAATACGAGGAGAATATTTAACTGTGATTGGTCAATTCTTACAATAACTACGCTTAAAATTGTAAAATGAACTTAATATGAAAAGATAATTACCGGCGAATTTCTTCGCTCGAAATTTTTGTAATTGGCTTTCTACTTTCTTTCTTTTAATTTAAATGTTACAACTAATCCGTGTTACTTTTGACTCCAGTTTTCCCTACCTAAGCTTGAAGTCTTAAGCTGTAAGAAATTGATCAATTACAGTTGAATTTGAAGAAAAATTCTGTCTTGAGGTGTCACGAACCAATTAGAAGACCGCATTAGAATCTTAAGACATTACTTAAGACAGTCTTGAAATAAGAATCGACTATGAATACCGATCTATTAATTAATTTCTTACAGTTTAAGACTCATAATGGCTTGTTGATGGCTCATAAAAAAGCCATAATAATCAGACAATAATTACCCTTTATAGTTACTCCCACTTAAAATAGCAGAGGATTGATTCCTACAGATCAGTTATCAAAGTTCTCGACGGGGAACCCCCAGTACGCCAATAATCGATCGCGATAATTCATTGATGTGTGTGCTTTTGTAGTGTTCGTCGCGGCACGCAATCTGCCCCTGCGAAGTTTACATCTTCTAGTGTCTCCGTGAACCTTCCATTAAATTTTCATCGGGAATTGTCCAGATTCGATCTGTTTCCCTTTTGGCGAGTCCTTCTACCCGCATTGAAGAACTTCTCTCCGACATGACGCGGTCAGAACCCGACGGCAAGGATCAGACTGATTCTCGAATTCCACTTCGACTTTGTACATCGCCGGAATTCCCACGGGATATTCTCCGGCCACCCGCGAGAAAGCTCCCGTCGAACAACCATGAGAAAAATCGGTGAAAGCCGTCGTTTTTTAGAGACTCGCGTCGGAAATGCCGTAATACTGGTGTTAACAACGGCAGATGCTCGTTTCTCAGCCGTGAAAAATGAATATATATCTTATGGTCCGTCCTTTACACACGTTGCCGATTCATTCGGCGTTAAAAACTTTACGACGCGCTTTCGTGCAAAACCGTCTCGCTTTGACCGTCGGCGAAACGCAAACTCGCAAACAAACGCGTACAAAAGCTGCGGATATTAATTTCGGTCAGCGCAGCAGTGTACATACGTATTTTTCCTTCGATTTTTATAAGTTGTTACCCGTTTTTTTTCGGTTAACGCATTTTTGGTCCAGCTGGATAAGCGATTTTTGACGAATATTCACTGATGCTCGTGCTGTAACTCTCTGTCTTTAAACATAGAGAACGTCAGTCATGTGCAAAACAGAAGATGAAGTAAATCTGTATGCCTTAAACTGTAATCTAAAAGTAATATTAATGATAAATTGTAACTTAGGCTGTGTTACAATTTTGTCAGTGAAAATCTGTTATTTATATGTCTACGTGCATTCTACATTTTTAGAGTAAAATTCACTCTTAAAGAGACTGAGAATTGAACCATTTTTTCCAAGATTGATTTAATTTTCACTCTTTAAATTGAGATTCCACTCCAAAGAATTTAAAGAGCACTGTAGATTCTCAGTACTGACAGTAAGTTTGGGAACCTTAATTATATCCATAAATATACGTTTTAAATCTAGCGAGATCTGAAAAAAAGATTGAAATATGTATCATAAAATAAAAAATGAATTTAATAAACACATAATAAATAAAAACACGAAACTCTCGATCATTTAAAAATTCGTAATTTTTAATTTTCGATCAGTGCTCAGAATTTTTCCAGCGTGATTCGCGTGATTTCAGACTTTAATCTTAAGCTGTTCGGATCTTTCGAGTCTGAAAGGCGTCGGCCCGAAGGAACGCGGAAGGATGGGAGAGTCTAAAGCTTGTTTTGGAGAAACGATCTCGGCACTTCCGCCGATCACGGAATCACGGCGCGGCGTCGACTTTGCCGCATTCGAAAATACGATTTATTTGTTCGTCATCCGTGCACGAGCAGGGCTCCCAAATCCAATAATGATTTGAATACGGAACGGGCCGGTATGATCGTACGGTTTCGCGTTATTTCGGTCGCGCGCGCGGTGGTATCGCGCTCCCATAATTTTATAAACACTTTGAAAATCTTGCGTCACCGGCGGGCTTCGCGCGTTCGAGATTGCCTGCCTGCCGTTCCTAGGGCTTCGTCTGCGCCGGCAGTAAAATAATTACAAAATCGTACGCGAACGAAACGGGATAAATCGAGGCTACGCGCCCCTTCACCCCGCCCAATCGGGTACCCGGTATTTTTTCAGCTTCAGGAAGCCGTCCTGTGTTCTCTCGAGGAACCCTCTTGTCTCTCTGCGGTCTTCCGAGGGCCTATACAAATTCAAACCAGCCATTTTCGAGTGTTTGCCCCCTCTCCCCTTTCTCTCACTTTGAATCCGGATCATATCCGAGCGGATTTGTTCCAAAGAAGTCTATTGGAAGGTACAATAGTTATGTGTTTAGAGCAATTGTCACCAGAGAGAGAGAGAGAGAGAGAGAGAGAGAGAGAGAGAGAGAGAGAGAGAGAGAGAGAGAGAGAGAGAGAGAGAGAGAGAGAGAGAGAGAAAGAGAGAGTAATAATATTATTACAAACTCATAATTATATTTATATATTATACGTTTCTTCTTTTTTTAAAGGACATCAAGTGGATCCAAACAATCGACATGGAGCTAAGTTCACAACCTTACTTTAAGAGGCTGTAAGCTGTAAGTTATAAGTGACGATATATCGGCTTTAGAACTTATGTCTTTAGGCCGTAAGAATTGAGTTTTGCTCAATTTGCTTAAATCTAAGAGTTAAAGTCGAAAGCAAAAACAGTTTAAAGATAGAAATTATTGTCATTTAATCTCTTTTAACTTATGACTTAAAGCCTCTTAAAGCAAGATTGTTAAAAAACTAAAGTCAGACATCTTTTTATGTCTGTGAGTCAAATATATGTATGTTCGTATTGCGTGAAGTTGTCTTTGCTGTCTCGCACGGCGGTTATGTTTGATGTCAAAATTGCAATGCGTGATATTTTACATCGACAATTAATATTCCCGACACATTAATATTCCCGTTGCATCGGCACATTTTAAGTCTCGAAAGTCTAATACATTAAATTAGTCAAATACGTAGACACACACAGATATCAATCCTAGTTGCAACCCCATAACTAAACTTTTATAATTGCGTAATATTATGGCTAAAAAATTATATCATAAGATATCCGATTTAATTCAATTTCGCCAAAACGTGCCGAAATCAGAAAATCAAACCGAAGATGAGATGGTTACCAGCGACTTTTTGGAGTCTAGTACGGAAGGTGTGACGAGCGATGATCAAATATCTTATAAGAGAACTGATGATGATGAAACGAATGAAGACATTAAGAAGAACAAATCTTGGATGGACGAAGGGTCTGCTAGCAGAATGAAATCGTAAGGGACGCGTGAGGATCCTTTTCCTGAATTGCGAATATTATCTTTCATTTAGATAGATAGACTGATGAATTTGCACGAAGTATCATGTAGATCAGAGTCGAATCCGGGGGAAAAAGACAAACGGAAAGCAATGTCCGACATCATGAGGTTGATGAATTTGCACGAAGCATCATATATATCAAAGTCGAATCCGGGAGAAAAAAATAAACGGAAAGCAATGTCCGACATCACGAGACTATCTAACACGGAAACTATCAAGTGCTTTCCGCTCAGCAGCTTCGAGCACGAGCATCGGACTAAGACGACTGTTGGATTAGGTCGATGCGGAACGACGCGAATCTGGAGAAGCATGAAGGCGAAGCAGCCGGTTAGAAACGAATGATGCCAAGCTCAAATTATTCTTGATTTAATTTTATTTGCATATTTTTTTACGTTTCTTTTATCACATCTCTGCAGAACTGAGAGAAATGTTTTTTATACGTGACTTACAAAAATTTTCTTACTTTTTAATTAAAAAATGTTATTGTTCTAATCAAAATTTGATTATTTTAATTAAATTCTGGTTAAAACAATAAAGTTTTTTAATTAAAAAGTAAACAAGTTTTTGTAAATTACATATCATACAAAATATTTCTCTCAACGAAGTCTTATTAAGATTGTATAACTAATGCAAAGATCATTATTTGATTTACTTCGTTAACTCTATATTATTCTTTACATTGCGGACACATATACGAAGTTCTGTAAATTTACGATATTTTCTGCAGACAAAGATACATCGAAAGATGTTGAAAAATGGAAGCGGAAGATTATGGCCGAGTGTATCGCCGCTCTTTGCACGAGATGCAGTTATCAGGCTGGAAAAAGAATGTGACAAGGAAAGACAAAGGAAACAAAGAAACATTTTCCTCTATGACCTAACGGACGATGACAAAGACAAATTTCTTCAAAATCAACAGAGGAGCGACTTTGCTAATCGCAAAGAACTAGGTCATATACGTGTGCCAGTATCATATTTGAAATCAAAATTGAAATTATTGGTGGATCGCGCGGTTGGCGACCATCCCGGTTTGGTTGACGGTGATTACATGATTGTGAAGTTGCCATCTAAGCGTGTTTATGCCTATGTGGTTCTTCGTGGACTGAAGGGTATGCATTTATTGGAAATTAGCACACTGCGAGAGCGCAGGAACACTTGGAAGTTCTGCTTTTATCAAGCGATTGTGGCATTATTAGCGAAAACTCAGCTCAGGTATTGATATGCCAAGCAGGATAATCGAAACAATAATCTTAGCAAACAACCTGACGATATTTATCATTTTAAATATCAAAACTACGAAAAGTTACGTCAACTTGCTGAAAATGTTCCATACGTTTCAATCGAAACATATGAAATATTTTAATATATTTTGATGCGTTTTGATTATTCTTATACTCAAAAAAAAGACTTTACACTCAAAAAGATACTTCTTTTTATACTTAATTAATTAACTTTTTATACTTATTCTACTTAATTAATTTATTTAAAAGCAAATTAAATTATTTCGTTTCTCTGTCCAATCAATTCGAGATTTGCTTCTTCTATTCAAAATTTATTTGGAAAGAAAACTTTCATCAAGGTAAAAGGATAGGTGCATGAAATTTGAGTTAAGCGTTATGTAATTTTAACATCTCGCATTGGAAGAATGAGAATTTAACTGTATTATACTTTTATGAGAGTTTAGAATCCATTCAAAACTATCATTTCTTTTAAAAACGACATTATTTGCATGGAAGATACAAATACGTACGGAGCGCTAATATCGATTACATCTACGATCATGCCTGGATGCTCTTCACCCACATCGGCTCGATCAACGTGAAGGCAAAGCAGCGTCTAGATGACGTTGTAGTATACAATTACAAATACAGCGTCGAAGTAGAATTGATCGGGGAAATGAAAGATGTCGTGGCGCAGAACGTTGACATTTTGTATAAAGAGTACGATGTGAAATCGCAGATTATGTTAAGTAGGAAGGATCCTCTGCAAGTCGAGGTGGAACTCGGCTATGAGAAGGTTACCAATTCAGATTACGTGCCCGTTCACAAGGACGACTCGCCGAAAGAGCTCGAGCAGTGGCTCGACCAAATGATCACAGGGTATCGTGACTATATTTTGCGCACAATCAGATTTTCATTGGCCTTTTGGCAGGATGGTCTGTTTTGGTATCTGTATAATCCCTACCGATGCAATGAATATGGCTTCTGGCAAGAAGAAGACGGTTTCGCCTGCATCGTGAAGTTCTGTTCCAAGGATTCGTTACGAAGACACCTAATGATCCTTATGTTGAGAGCTCACGCCTTCGTGGAGGAGAAATCGCAATTCGATCATCAATTCAATTATGAAGAGAATAAGGAGAACGTTTACATCGACGTTCAGCTTTTCCACGTGTCTTTCCGCTGCTGTCAGCTGGATAATCTAAAGTTACTGAAACGCGGGATATGCAAACAGCCTCGATGCATCGATGAATGTCCGTCGGATACGCTTGAGATCGAAGATGAAGAAGACGAGACCGATCTAGAAGAGGATGAGGACGGCGATCCGAGGGAACCAAGGGAGAGAGCTATATGGCTGAAACGTTACCGACCGATGACCTGGGGCAAATGCGCGTCCACGAGCCGGAAGAGACCAGGCTCGACTGAGGTCATTGCCGCCGGTAAAGCGAGATGGCATCAATACTACACGGAAGAACCCAACAGACTGTTCTCCCTGTGGGGCGAAATACACATAACTGACGATATGTTCGACGAGGCGAACCGCGGTATGCAGACGTACGCTTGTTACGTAGTGTGTGCTGGCATGACTAGGATTATGGCGCCGGAATATTGGACCCCGAAGACTCTCGACGCGATCGTCGTGTGCGGAGATCGTTATTACACGCACAGCAAGCATGAAGCCGAGCTCAAGTCTGCCAGCAATGAAGATGCTAATAATTCGTTTAAGTACCTCTCCAATTGTTTCGATATCGGTGAGATTGTATTCGAGGCTCGGATGCTGCCGGCCGTTAGCGGCAGATTGTACGCTGAATCGGACGAGTGCTTGTGGAAGACACTGGAGCGAGTATTCTCGAGTTATCACTTCGCCGTACTGACATGCGAGAACGCCTGTCTTGGTCTCTTCAAGTTCTGTGGAGCTTACTACATGTGCGATGTGAATTCATTCGGCCCGCCGTTCTTCCGGTATGGCCACGGCGCCGCATATCTGCTGAGAGCCACATCCTTCCGCAAATTCATGACGGTACTCGTGTTGATTATCGGCTCGTCGGAACGCAGCCGATTCAGCCTGAATCCCATTGAAATTCTCAGGATTGTCGAAGTAAACACCGCATTTGATTCTCGTAGAAAACCACGTGACAAAAAGTGCCGTTTTGGAAGATTAAGGAGGAAAAAAACGGGAAAGTCAAGATTTGCGTTCGATGCAAAAGAAAAAAAGAATTAATAAATGGTAAATCCGAATGTGATGTAACCACATGTAATAATCGAAGATAATAATTGAGGACTCGATTAAAAAAAAAAACTGTAAATATATAAAATAAAAAATTAAAAACAAATTTTTTATTATTTTAAATAAAATTTATAATTAAATTTAATTCATATCGGTGCAATTATTCTGAATTGATTGAATTGATTCACTCATAAGCTCTCCTATCCTATATCCGGAAAACCGCTGAGCAAAAAGTTTCAAACGCGACGCGTTTCAAAATTTCTAAACGATCGACGGGCTTTAATATTTATGCGTGGTGGAATATCGAAGCTCCGTGTAAACGTTTATATAAACGGGAATGTATTTTCCACAACAGCGAAGCGATTTCAATAAGAAAATATTGTTGTAAAACCGCGTTGCGCTCCAGCAATAACAATAAGCGGTAGTAGAGAAAGAGTATTGGGAGATTTAAAGTTCTCGCGATCTAAATGGACACCTCACTGCACACTTGTATGTAAATGAGAGAATTCTCGATAAAGGTATCACATCGAGGTAAATTGATATTACTCTCTTCGGATTAGATTGAAGGTCAATGAAAATCAATCACGAAAAATTCAAGATAAAATAAAATAAATTCAAATTGATTTAATTTGATCCATAATTAATGTGTGTGTGTGTGTGTGTGTGTGTGTGTGTGTGTGTGTGTGTGTGTGTGTGTGTGTGTGTG